CCAGTACAAAGATAGGTTAAGGACTAAATTATCATTTTCGAAATTAGGGGCATGATAGACTTTTCAAGTGGCAGATCCGTACAAACTCGTGTTTATAAGATATAATAATATAACAAACAAAAAAGAGCAAAAATTAATATTAGTCGGAATCAATTTTATATTTTTTTATTTTTAATCTCATTCAAAGATAATTATCAAAATTAGTTACACACGTAATATAAATCATCATTTTCTTTCCACCGTTTCAAGGGAATGTATTTATATATCTATATCAAAAGTTGAGATGACATCTGGTTCGGATGGAACACATTTTATTATATAGAACACGATTGTATCCAAATAGTTAGATATACCTCGTTACATTTGTTTGAAAATTTTGATTTTGGTCTAACTTAACCGATCCTTCGGTTAATATAATGAGTTGCACACATTTGTTCCCTGTTTTGAATTAATTTTTAGAGTTTCTTATTTTTTAAATTATTTTTTTGGAAAATACTTTAGGGTGTGTTTGTTTGGGGTTTGGATTTTAAATTGAGATTTGAATAGTAAAAATTTTGAATTTGAATAGTTGTATGATGTGATATAAATAGATGTTGATATGATGTGGTTAGTAGCTTGATGAATGTGGTTACATGTCAAAGGTTCCTTATTCAAATATGGTTAGTAGCTTGATGTATGCGATGGTGTGTGTACAAGGCCTGACATTTCACATGCATTTGGGATTGTGAGCAGGTATATGCATGTTCCAGGCAAAGAACATTGGCAAGCTGTGAAATGGATTTTAAAGTATATTCTGAAAACCTTAGATATTGGATTGATGTTTTAACAAAGTAACGATATTGGTCAATATATAGTTGGGTACTGCGATTCAGACTATGCAGGAGAACTAGATAAGCGACGATCAACTATTGGTTATGTATTCACTCTTGCAAATGTACCAGTTAGTTGGAAGTCAACCTTACAGTCTACCGTAGCTCTGTCAACAACAGAGGCAGAATACATGGCCATAACTGAGGCTGTTAAGGAGGCAATCTGGTTACAGGGATTACTGGATGACTTGGGAGTCTGCCAAAAATACGTTACGGTGTTTTGTAACAGCCAAAGTGCTATTCATTTAGCAAAAAACCAAGTATATCATGCCAGAACAAAGCATATAGATGTGCGGTACCATTTTGTGCGGAAAATAATTGAAGAAGGTGGAGTCAGAGTGCAAAAGATTGAAACCACTGAGAATCCTGCTGATATGTTGACAAAGAGTGTAACAGGTATCAAGTTTGAACATTGTTTGAACTTGATAAATGTTCTAAGAGTTTGAAGCATTTGAAGGCCCGATCAATCTGTATGATAGGAGAATTTTGGAGAAGATACTTTGGATGAGATTTGAAGGTTGCCAAGGTGGAGATTTGTTGGAAAAGTCAAACATTGTGGCTCCTTCCTCAATCCCACGTCGCCTAAATTGTGTAGGGGGGGGGAAGTTTCCTATAAATACACCCCCTACCCTTTGTTACAATAATCCCGCAGCACAATCCTCGTATTCTAATTGTATTGTATTTCTTATCTTCTCTCATAATATAAGTTTGGTTGGGGTCCGAGGACGTGGGCAAAATTTTGCCGAACCTCGTTAAATTTGATGTTCTTTATTTTGCTCTGGTGTGTTGGTTATTTTGCGGTTATTTATTATGCTTTAATTTTGCTAAGAAAATTCTGTCAAAAGGACTATAAAAGATCCAAGGAAATTGAGTTTTAAGTGAGTCTCGTGTCTCCTCCAATTACCTGGGAATTTTCTTCGGTATTAATTGGGTACGATATTTTGCCGATCGTGTGGGGCCAACCCATTTTTCACAACAGCTACATAACTCATCTCCAACCATACCCTCTCCTCTAGTTTTGTAGGGTTAAAAAATATTTTCTTTATATTTTATTTTACATAATTTTTAAAATTACAAATAGGATTCTCTTTATATTTTATTTTACATAATTTTTAAAATTACAAATAAGACCAGCGGAATACTGTAGCACCCGCTGATTCCAGCGGATGAATTCTGCAAAACTGCATAGTGGGTCGAAGCAATTTTTTCTCTCCCCACCCTGCAAAAATAAAGGAAAACCTCCTCGGTTGGAGATGGCCTAAGCTATATATCTTGAATTTTTTTTAAGTTTAGAGTTTTTGAAAATTTAAGAAATAGTTAATAAATAGCATTAAAACTTTTAAAATTGTATCATAAATAATTAAAGTTTGTTTGGTTACAATTTCACATTGATTTGAAATAAAACGTTAATTTGAATTAAACGTTCCAAAACTATAGTCTGAATTGTGTTTGATACGGAATTTTTAAAATATTGATATTATATTAGTAGGGTAAAAAATACGAGTAAAAGACTTTTTCGCCATTGTGAGTGTATTAGTGTAAAAAGTAGTGGCAATTGTGTAATAATAATGAAATAGTAATTGTAGTTTTATAGTGATATGATTATTTATGGAAATGAGACTATTGTTTTGGGACGGACAAAAATGGTAACAACACTATTGTATTGGAACGGAGGGAGTAGTATTTTTTATGTGATGTTTTGTGAAAAAAAAATATACTGTATTTTTAAAAATGATGTAATGTTGATTTAAGTTTGAAATGATAAAAGAACAATTTCAAAATTTTATTTACACAATTTTTTTTTTTTAAATTTTTTGACACTATTCATTTATAATAATTAATAATGTTTTTTAAAAAAAACATTAAACCAATACATTTTTCTATAATAAAATATTAAATCAAGTATATTTTTCTTAAAATCGAACCTAAATTCTTGGGGTGTTTGACAATTAATTGTTAGTTTTTAACTGTTAGCTTATTTGATTAGTTGTTAATTGATTTGATTGGATGGTTTTACTAGCTGAATATATTAGTTGTTTGGGCTAAAATGTTTGATAAAATATTAGTTTTGTATTAGTTGGTTTTATGTAAAATATCAATTAATGACATTATATATATTAATATTTAGTTAGTTTTTTCCGTGGGTTAGACTTTTTTAATATAATATTATAAATTATTAAAAATTAGGAAAATTTTATTAAAATACTCTTCCATCCCAAAAGAGTTGTTTTGTTTTTTCATTCGTCCGTTTTAAAACAATAATCTTATTTCATTATTAGTAACCGCGATCTCCACTTTACATCAAAATTATTCTTATTTTTTCACAATTATCCCTAATTATTACTCTAACTTACTTTTTAAAACCCTTCAAAAAGAAAGGATAATATAGTCTTTTACATTCTACTTTATATTCATCCCCGTCCACTTATAATTGTCATAAAGTATATTTGTATGATTTTTTAGATAATTGTCTTTTTGGTATGAATTGACAAACTTATCCTTAATGATAAGGTAGAAATTAAAAATAATAAATAAATTAATGGTAAAAAAGTAAAATTTGTGTTTTAAAAAGGAAACATGACAATAATTATTGGGTGTCCCAAATAAGAAAATAGAGCATTAGTTTGTGGACGGATGGAGAGACGGATAGAGTATTTATTATTATTATTATTTAAATATTTCGTAAAAAAAAAAAAAAAACTTTTTTCGCTCAATAAATTAATTAAAAATATTAATCTATCAAACACCAGAATTAGCTGATTTACTGATCAAAACAACTAAAAGTATTCTATAAGCTAAACCTTTTAAAAAACTTATTTGCCAAAACATGCCCAATAAAAATTATTTGCCAAAACATCCTATTGGGCTCAATCTCTAATTAATTGTACAACTTGTATTTTTGATACAATATGCATTAAAACACGTCGCCCCACGTTAAAACTGATTTAAACTAATCGTAGGCTTAATTGACTCTACTACTAAGATATTTATTCATTGGTGTCATTCCCATGTTTGCCTCTATTTAGTTTTTTCGATTGATTTAAGAGTGAATTGAAATAGTATATTGATTTAATTTATTTATTTTTTTTTTAAAAAAATAATAATTAGTATTGTGATGTTATACTTTGTGAAAAAAAAAAAAAATTTATTTTTATTCGAAATCAGAGTAAATAGTATTAATTTCGATTTGAAATCACAGTTAAACATACTCATATATTTTTATTTTTTTATAAAGTTTTGGAACTGTTAATCAACAATATATTTTTTTTATTTTTTATTTTATCAAAAATCAATGAGATCAAATATTTATTTTGTCTCATAACATCCACATGTATTAAATATTTAATTTTTTATTATTCTCAAATTTTATAAAATTGAAAGAACGTGCTCTTGAAAAAATTGTATCTTGCCCAAAAGATTCTCCATTCATCTATCCTATGAATTAACTAATATATATATATATATATATGACAATTGTTATTTTACTAATTATAATTAGCATAGTGTGACAACAAACTTGTAAAAAAAATAGAAAACACATATACTAACAATCTATACACTATATAAAAATCAAATATACTTTTATAAGTAACCCAATATAATTTTATACGGCAAAATTTCAAAAATAATCAGATAGCATACACTCTTATTTCACGTCCTATTTGTAGTAAAGATCTTCAAAACACACTGAGATATTGGATTTTAAATTCACTATTTATTTCATTTTTTCTCTTCAAAAATATCAAATCAAACATCTATTTTTTATTTTTTATATTATACTAAAAATCAATTTTACATTCAAAACATCACATCAACACCTATTTATACCACATACAACTATTTAAATTCAAAATTTTTACTATTCAAATCTCAACTCAAAATCCAAACCCTCAAACAAACACACTGTACAGCTAAATTTCTAATTGTGGTCAAATTGGGATCCATATTATTTTATTTATTTATTATTATTATACCACTAAGTACAGCTACTTTGTAAATCTTACACATATATATATATATATATTCTCTTGATCATTCAGGCACGTTCTTGCCTCTAAGAATTTATATATATATATATATATATTTATTATCCCAATTTGGATCATTATTTGGAGAGATCAAAGGTGGTAATAATGTCGAAAAAGCAGCAGCCTCATGTAGTTTTGATCCAGTTTTTGTTGTTGCTGCTGCTGCTGCTTATAATCAACCATAGATTCTCCAGGTATATGTATGTATCTAAATTATATGTATGGATAAATAATACTTCTTCGTCGTTCAAATCTATGTTCACTTTCTTTTTGGACTGTCATTGAAAAATATTCTTGTTTCTTTTTTAAGTAAAAAAATATTATATTTTTGTACTTTTTTTACTATAAAAAGAAAAAAATAACAATTATTACTAATTTTTATTAAAATTCGTGCCCGACCAAATAAGCACACGTTTGCATGACGAAGGGAGTAGTAATTACTGTTACCTAAAATATATATATATATATTGTTTCATGAGAAATTTGGATAGAAAGAATTCCAATTCATATGTGTGTGTGTATTTTGGGTAGAAAGACCCAAATTGATTGAATTTTTTCATTTAAGTTTATGATTGGTTTTGGAGATCTTTGGAATTCATTCAAATTCAAGGTATTTTTTATTATGTTATTCCAACACTATTTTTTTAATTGCTATTTTTTAAAAATAATAATAATATAAAAAAGAACTTTTTATAAAAGTTAAAAAAAAAAATAAAAAATCAAGTACTCATTACAAAAAGTCAGAAAGTTAAATAATTTAAAATAATATATTTTATACTTTTGACGCAATTCTCTATGTCATACACAAAAAATCAATCGATCTAAAAACGCTGCGTGAATAGAATCTCTATCAACATTTTTTTTAACATTAGATGTTTAATCAAAAAATTGAACTCAAAGAAAATAAATAGTATTTTCCATTGAGTTCGAATAAATATGTATAATCGAAGGAACGTGTTTGAAATCTAAAATACCAATTTGTTGATGCTAGATTTTTATAGTGTGATATTTTTTTTGTTATCATATATTTCTAATCAATAATATATATATATATATATCAAGTAGAGTTGACATAAGAAGAGTTAGAAAGCAAAGAGAATATCAAGAGTCTTCATCTTCACCATCTCTCGTCAAGCTCAATATATCTCAGAAAAATGTAAGAATACGCACGCAAATATGCACGTGTATACATAATTATATGTATATTCATGAAAGATCGATATTTTTTATTGCAGGTGGAGATAGACAACGGCATCATCAAACTCGTTTTGTTGAATCCACACGGCATGATCTCAGCGGTCAGTTACAAAGGAATCAACAACGTGCTTGAACCTCGTAATAAACTAACTCAACGAGGGTAGGTTATTGATTCACTTGGTAATTTTTGTTTATAAATACATAGTTATTGGATGTAATATTTTATACTATTTTCGTCTCATCTGAATAAACTCATTTTTACCTTTTAAAATTATCTCACGTTAATGTCAATTTTCATTTACAATTTACATGGTCTCCACTCAATTATCAATTATTCTCATTGTTCCACTGTCTTCATTAGTCATTTTTCACATGCAAGATTCAATGTAAATTCACATTGTATGAAAGAACGTATTGATTGAATTCATAATATACAAATAAACAAATTATATGTATTTCTTCAAAGTTAAATTTTTAGGTGAAATATTCATTTAATACTCACTTTTATCTCTGTTTACAAAAATACCATCATATAATACATAAATTCAAAGGTATTATTGGCTTTCCTCTCTAATACAAACTTATACACTAATATAAGTATTATTATTTTTTAACCTACTAAAAAATTTTTTGAGTCTATTTAGGTGGGACAAAGAAGATCGAAAAGCAGTAAAAATTTCATTGTAAAAGATTAAAAAAATAAAAGGAACTCGAAGATAACATAGTCAAATTATGCTATATATATAAGTATAAATTACTTCTAATATATATCATCATGTTGTAACTTACGTACTTAACTTAATTTTTGTAACGAATGCAGGTATTGGGATATAGTTTGGTACAGACCAGATATAAACATAGGAAATTTTGAACCGTAAGTTAAACACTCTTCCTCAAATAACTCATCAATACATAAAACAAAATTCGATACTTAGTCCCATAAATAAATATTCATTTTTAATTCAGGATAAATGTACTTTTAGTTATATATATATATGTGACATTCATTATATTTTTTTAAGTTTTGGAATTTTGAAAAAAAAAATTGTGATTGTAAAAATTTAATATCTAATTTGATGTTCTACAAGAAAAAAATATATTTAATGAGACAATTTCAAAAAAATACCATAAGTAAATAGTGTCAAATATTTCAAAATTGTATGTATAAATAGAGCCATAGTCAGTGAACTAGCCATATGACAATTTATATTACTATATTTTAATAAATTTATAAAATTGAACTCATTTTAGACTATTTGGCTAATCCAAGTCAATTCTAACAATTAATATACTTACACATATTTATTATTTTTATATTACCTACACAATTCCTAATAGATCATATCAAGAAATTTCTTTTAAACCAAAACACAAAACACAAAACAAACAGATCTTTTCAACAATTATGAATTAAATATAAAACTATTTTCATATAAATTTTACTTTGCTAAAAATATATTCAACCCCTTTTAATTTTAAGCTCATTCATATTATTATTATTATTAATGAATCTTTGCCATAATCTAATCTACTGTTCATCAGATTCCAAAGTAAAAAGTTTAGAGTAATAGCAAATACAAAAGAATACGTAGAGGTTTCTTTCACAAGTACGTGGAATAATGTTTCCTCTCCAAAAGATATGGCTCCCCTCAAAGTCGACAAGAGGTACTTACCTACTACTTACTCCTTGTATTATTACCAGAGCCGTCAACGATCCGAGTCGAGCCAAATTTTAAATGTTTATTAACGTTTGCGAACAAAATTCGTGTTCGTTCGTTAAGCTTTTTGTTGTTTGAGTTCGTGTTTGTGTTCGACTCGTTTAGACTCGATTAAGCTCATTCGACCTCGTTTGTCTTATTTTTTTAAATTTATATATAAATTATAAAGAAAATTTAAAATTGTTTTATTTATATATTTTAAATTAATATTTTATTTATATATAATTTTATATGTATATATAATATTTATAATAAATATAACATTCGTGAACAAAATTCGGGCTCGTTCGTTAACTAAACGAGCCTGTTTATATTGTTCGGCTCAGCTCGTTAACATTCGCGAACGAGTTTTAACCGAGCCGAACCGAGCCGAGTTCACGAACGGCTCGATTCGTTTAACAGCTCTAATGATTACTTAAAAAAATAATAAAAACATAGAGCTATCAAAACGGACTGCCGAGAAAAATCCCTTCAGAGACATTCTATAAAATTGGAACGATACAGAAAACATTAACATGACCGCACACAAATCGCCAAATCATCCACAATCCATTACCTAACGTTAAAAATGACACAGCCAACCCATCTTTAAAATGGGTAGAACAATCGATTCAACCTATTTTAACAGCTCTAATCAGAAACTTGAATGTTTATGTTTACACTATATTACTATTTCTTTTTTATAGTGAACACACGAATTCGTCAATTATGAGTTGGGCGTGTTTGGCTCCTTTTCTGTCTATAGATTCATGGTTCTTCGCGGGGTGTCCGGTTTCTACACATACGCTATATTCGAGCACCAAGAAGGATGGCCCGATCTCAACATTGTCGAGGCTAGAATCGCTATCAAGCTTAATAGCGACATGTAAGATTTACCATATTCTGATCAATAGAAAAAAAAAAAAAAAACATACGAATCCATATTAAAGTTACGCAATCCTCAGATTTCATTACATGGCTATATCCGACGACATGCAAAGAATCATGCCAACGGAGCGAAATAGGCGATCAGGTCGACCGCTTATATACAGGGAAGCCAAGGTGATTACAAATCCCCGAAATCCAAACCTTAAAGGAGAGGTAATAAACGATAAATCGAAACAAACTAATAGTCTAACCACATATACATAACCCTTTTAAATATCTTTTCCAGGTCGATGATAAGTATCAATACTCCGTAGATAACAAGGATAACCGTGTCCACGGATGGATTAGCACTGAAAAACAAGTGGGATTTTGGGTGATAACACCGAGCGATGAGTTTCGGGGGGGTGGACCTATCAAACCCGACCTTACATCCCATGTCGGCCCTACTAGTTTAGTTGTGAGTATCATCACCAAGGCATCGTCTACCAAATATCGTAACTTCTAATTAGACAAAAGAATGATCATCGATATTCTACAGATGTTTCATAGTAGACATTACGCTGGAGAAGATTTTGGACTAAAATTACGCAAAGGGGAGCCATGGAAGAAGGTCTTCGGCCCAATTTTCATGTATCTAAACTCGGATTCGACCAATTCAACAACTACACTATGGAACGATGCTAAAGAACAGGTTAATATAATGAAGTAATTAAAATCATACGGTTTGAACTTAACTTGATGGTTTTGTCAATACCTTATGCTTATCAGATGTTGAAGGAGACGAGTAAATGGCCTTACGACTTCCCTGTATCGAGCGACTTTCCTCGTGCCAACCAACGTGGGGCAATTTGTGGTCGATTGCTAGTTAGAGACAAATACATTGACACAAAACTCGTACCTGCAAAATTTGCATACATCGGATTGGCTCCTCCTGGAAGTAAGAAATCCTGGCAAAACGATGTGAAGGTGAAATTTATTAGCTTCGCAATCGTAATTGAATTTCAAACATTATACTTACCTTTGCTTTATCTTCTGTGTTTCCTTTCAATTTCTACTTAGTTTTTTACTATTTGATCTCCGGCTTCTATAAATCCAAAATACTTTTACTCTACAAACATCGCATCAAATATTATTATGTGAAAAAGCTCAAAAATCAATCTAGACTGAAAAGAAACACATCCTATGTTCTGGACAGGGTTACCAATTTTGGACACGTACAAACAAGACAGGCTACTTCACCATAAAAAACATCCGAGCAGACAAATATAATTTGTATGCTTGGGTTCCAGGGATCATTGGAGACTATAAGAACCGTGATATTCTGATCATTCAACCAGGTTTGTGAGAGTTGAATAGTAAAAGAAATTGCAAAACAAAGTGTAAAGAGAACAATGCCCTCGCTTCATAAATAAGTGTTCGCGTGGTAATCAATTTGTTTGTGTGTGTGTGTATATTTTATCAGGAAACCAAGTTCAAATGGGAAATTTGATACACAAACCTCCGAGAAATGGTCCGACTCTTTGGGAAATAGGGATTCCTGATCGTAGCGCAGCTGAATTCTACATACCTGATCCCGACCCAAACCTTGTGAACAAGTTGTTCCTCAACAAAGACAAGTATAGACAATATGGATTATGGGATAGATATACAGACAATTATCCGAAGCAAGATTTGAAGTACAAGGTCGGAGAAAGTGACTACCGGAAAGATTGGTTCTTTGCTCATGTAAATAGGTGAAATATTAGCCAATGTTTTTGTTTCTCAATCATAATTTGCAATGAGCTAATGTCAACCCACATTGTAATTAATTGCTTCAATACAGGAAGATTGGAAACGGCAGCTACATACCGACCACTTGGGAAGTCTCATTTGAACTAAAAAATATCGCTACAAATGGAAGTTACACTCTTCGACTAGCATTGGCAGCTGCAACCGTCGCGCATATACAAGTATGCATTGCCTGTTTACATAAATAATTTTAGAATTTTTGATATTATTTATCAACAATAACTTTTCAATATATTACATCAAATATATATTTTTTCTAGAGAAAACATCGTAACAAATCCCAATCGTTGCTCTTCTCAAAATTTTCCAGAACTTCAAAACTTTTCCAATATTTTTGCCATGTTTAGTACATCTAAGCTTCTAGTCTTTTAAGCTTAAAACAACAATTATGTTCTCATTCTAGGTACGAATCAACAACCCAAATGTCGCCTGGCCCCATTTTTGGACAGGAAAAATAGGCAAGGATAATGCGATATCAAGACATGGCATTCGTGGAGAATATTGGTTATTCAATATTGACATATGTGGATGCCGGCTCGTCAATGGAGAAAATAAGCTATATCTATCGCAAGTGAAAACGGACTACAGCCCTTTCAACGGAGTTCTCTATGATTATATTCGATTGGAAGGACCATCAGAAGGTTAACGATTAGGCATTGTCCAACTTTGTTTTTCCATTTTTTCCCCCTTTCTTTTACATCAATCTAGTTCAATGTTAGACATTAGTTTTCATGTCATTACACTCTTTACATAGAAAACTTCTAAGACATGAGTTGATGAATAACAATGTATTATACTAAAATGACATTCATGAGAAATAGAAATTGTCAGGAAAAAGTGTTCTAGGCATAAGATTCCGAAACCGGTCTTACAAATCCAGCACAATACACCATTAAAGCTATTCCCTTTCATGTGGACGAAAAATGTTCTATTTTGAGCATAAAATGGCAATAAGTTATGGTCTAACAATGTATGACAACAAAAATTAAATGAAGGTACGACTCAAGGATAGTTAGAGTATTGATTGGGCTAATTTGCAGAACATGGCTTAAATTAATACTACGTGTGTAGTATAAATTATTAGCATGTGTTGTTTGTTGTATGAATATACCTCATATGTTGAGAACAATTGTAATATATATCGTGTTTCCTATTGTTATGTGATGTCACTCCATGTACTGTATTTGTACTATGTTAACATATATCTTGTGCTATCGGTTTATATTTACTGTCCTAAGTAATTGCAGTCAACATAGTAATCGCCGCCTACTACACACACCCAAGGATTCTTGTCCTAGGAGAGAACAAAATCATTTGTCTTACTTTTAAAGAGAGATTTTTGTGATGTTGTGTATGCTGTCTGTTGGGATATACCTACAACAACTCATTGTATACTAAATACTGCTACATCTATTTTATATACATATTAAAGGTCTGTGTTATTATCTATTCAAATCTATTCTTTTACTATTCAATATCTCATCTTCCTCGTATATACATATTAAAGGTCTGTGTTATTATTTTTTAAATCTATTTTTTACTATTCAATATCTCATTTTCCTCATATATATGTTATATTTAATATTATCTTCAAAGTCAAGTTTGTTTATATGAAATGAGTCAAAGTCAAGGAAAAGGGCAAGTCGAACTAATACTTCCTCAAACACTTAACATATAAACTGAAAAAAGTACTTCCTCATCGGTTTCTTGATATTACATCTAAAAATTACCATGTCATCATCACTTTCTTGATAACCAAGAAAAAAAAAAATGAGAATGCGAGGGTACATACCTCCAGAGAACCAATAGTGTCCTCTAGTCAGCGCCTCAACATCCGAGCAACGCTAGCAAGAACAGTCCTCAAACTTCTGATGCCTGCCCCTGTTTTTGAGCTTACCATCATCTGCAATGGTCCAGGAATAGCTTATTAATTGTGTTGCAGAACAATGAATCTCAAGTAAAACAAGTCAATCATTAGTGTAGATATACCAATGGCTGAACTGCAGATTTCTTCAATTTGAGGTTCTGAGATATCAAAGAAATTGTGAATCCAGTGAGCAAAGAAGAATTATAAAAAGATAAAAAGGAACCTGTTACTTGGTTCAAAATGCCAGGCTTACCTCTTCGATCTGCATTGCCCGTCGTGCCACATCAATGGGAAAGACCAAATCCGTTTTTGTTAATACAATTTGGTACTTGGTTTGGTACCTTGGATCAAATGTCAAAGCATCAGTAACCACAGTTTTCAAGTCAGGGACAAACGAAAAAAGAGATAGAAATTGTTTAGTAAATGGATAACAATAGACATATATAAAATTAACACCATGTCCATGAAGCCAATATCGTAGTAGTAAACTGAAATCTGTATGAAATGATGTATTCTCCTGGGAGCTTAATTATGTTTAGATGAAAAAAGTGGCCGTTCAAATGCTTTCACAATAATGTTAGAACAAACGCACTGAATAGCTAACAAATACAATTCGTCAAAGAATAACACTCAAAACACCCACAAAACATATTGTATGAACTATGAAATAGATGCACCTTTCCATCAAGTCAATGAATTCATTATCCCTTGGTTTCATGCCCCATTTTGTGTCAATGAGAAGGCATACTCGCTTTAGACTAGCCCGACTGCTAACATACTCTTTCACCTACAAAGTGCATATGGAGGGATAAATATTGAAATGCACAAGAACATGTAAAACTAAATAGTATGCAAGGGACCCTACATAGAATAGTAGCAGATAATTTAAAATAAATTAACCAGTAACATATAACTGATTATCGAGTATAGACTATATGGGATGTTAGATTATTGTTTGAATAAAGCATAGAATGCAATTTACTGAATGTAATATTGCCTAAAACCTTTGAAATATTATAAGTTGATTGTGGAGTGACCTTTAAAAAGAATGAGAATTCTTCAACTGAGCTATAATGACAAGGGGCTCTTGTTCCGACAAAACTCTATTCTATGTGTTCCATTAGTGAACTTCATTCTCTGTTCTAGTAAGAATGATGATCCCATACCATGTAAATAGAGCTATTTAACTTTACATGAATTGTGATTTTCTTTGCACCACTATATTGACAATGGTAAACATGCTTGATGCTAATGGCCTACCAAAAATTTACAATTTAAGTTTAATCGGTATTCATGAAAAATTTCTTTTTATTAAATGAAAAAAAAAAAAAAAACTTTGTTTTGCTATAGTCAAAAGTAGTCAAATTACTTCACCCTGTAACCAAACTTATTATTGATAAGTAACAAACAAACACACACACACACGTATATGAAGTTCTAGTGATAGAATACTTACAAGTTCTTCCCAAGATTCTTTAACTTCATCTTTGGCGTAAGCAAAACCGTATCCAGGCAAATCTACTAAAGATAGCTTTGGCCCAAGCTTAAAAAAATTGATGGTCTGTAAAAGGATTGTAATACATTGTTAATTAAAAACAGTTGCACATTCGTAACTCAGCTGTAACAACAAATACAACACCTGTGTAAGGCCAGGCTTGTCTGATGTTCGCACAACACCCCATTGCCTTGTTAGAGCATTGAGCAACGATGACTTGCCAACATTAGACCGACCTACTCAAAAGATTCATAGTCATAATGATAATAAATGTTGCTTATGCTACTATGGTCTACATAATCTCTACCAGGATGATCATAAGTTTTAGTTTTCAGGAAGAAAATATCAGATCACCGTTAAAAGAAGACACAAATAATACAAGCATAAAACCTTCAATTAGCTTCACTTCCAATGAGGAGTTTATGCTCATTCTTCACACTAACTAAAATAATTTAATTCCAACATTAGAGAAAGCGCATATATCATATGTGTATTTTGTGTGTGAGTGAGCTTAAAGAACCCTTAACTTATAATATGAAGAAAAATAAAAAATAAAAAAAAAACCTTTAAAAACGGATTCACTAAAGAGGCAGATTGTCTAAAAGACCAAAGAAAAAATCCCCACTGAAATCAATCTCAAGATTAATTAATAATAGAAAAGGGGGTGGGTGTATAAACCTAATAGGCTAGCTAACATTTATTTCTTAAAATACCTGCAAATGCAATCTCAGGAAGGTCGGGAGGGGGAAATGATGATGAAACTTTTGCGGCGGCAAAGAACTCTAATTTATTCCTGAATACCTTCAACACAAATTACATGTATCTAGTAAGAAAAAACATGGTTATCATATAGTTGATGACCTCAGGTTTCATATTTGCTCAATGCAATACAAGTAATCGTAGAAGTTTGTAAATGAATCACATTTCACATATCAAACTATGACCATGAAAAGCAAAAGATAATTAATACATCTACTTACAATACAACTCTCTTAAAAAAGGAAGACCCTTCATATTAAGTGAATTAGATACCGAAACAGAACAACAAATCAAGTATAGATGCATGTTAAGGCCTCATGCTCCAGTAACTCTCTGCAAATTCTTTCAGATCCATATTCCATATTACATCATACGGTCAATTCTGTGCAACAAAGTGTAGAGATAAATAAAAGTGCAAACATCTCTAAAGGTATAAGCTTCATACAGGTATCTCAATCCGTTCTCTTTCTGAAGCCGTTGAGAAGGGAATGTTGTCTAACAGGGCAGATAATTCAGTGTTGTAGCCCGCCCTTCTAAATTCAATATCCCTTCTGCGTCCTAATAACTGAAAAAAATCAATTACCATCAATCAATAGCTACATATTTGAAGTTACAGTGATTAAACACTGATGAACTAGAAAGGATTTTACATTGTCCTCCACAAAAGTAAGGATAGAAGTGCTAGGGCGTATGGCACGAAATTGTGCATTCTTTGACATCTCAACACTTTCATTTTCTTCCGAATCTTTCTCCATTTGACTATTACCTAATGAATTAAGCACAAAAAAGTTACAAAAAAGAAGATAAAAATCAATGCAACCACTTTATCCTTAGATTTCAAGGAAACTAAAATAAAATATAATTGAAGAGCCTGAACATGCTCAGTTTTGACACAATCTATTCCGTTGCGTAATAAATTTATTGACTGCCATTAATTTTCTGTGCTGCTCCTCTCATTTCACCAGAATATTCTCCAAAACAGAAAATACAAGAAAAGAAAGTCGGGAAAGACCTGTTTCAAAATTTAGAAATCATTTGTTGGACAAGAAAATGGCATCAAGACATTACTGCAGGCTGGTGACATAGTGCACGTCAAATGCTGAATGCAATCACATCTCACAAATATTTATACATCATGAAGTCACTAAACTTAACCGAACTTTTTATGTATAAAACATTTAGATAACGGTAATACAAATGATCATTGAAAAGAGATAGTTTGGAGAAAAAATCTTCCTTCATTTTCAAGTCATCAATATCTCATTTCATATATAAAAAATGCTTGAAACTACAAAAGCCAAAACACCAAATATCTATTTTTATTTTTTTTTATATTACACTTAAAATCAATTTTACATTCAAAACATCACATCAATTCTTATTTATATCATATCAAAACTATTAAATTTAAAATTTTACTACTCAATTAAAAAACCCCAAACAAACACACCCTTGTTTTTTAGTGGAAGAGCAGTGACTATTATATGACATACAGAAATTTATCATCTTCTTATCAAAATAGGACTAAGATATACTCCCTTCGTCCCACCTACAGTGTCCACATTGCCGTTTCTGTCCATCCCACATCTCATGTCACTTTCTTTTTTCGGAAAATGATTACACACTTTAATCTTATTAAAAAATTTCTAATTTATAATTTTTTTTAATTATAATTAAACTAATTAGTTATCTTAATCTTAATTTATAATTATTTACTAATTATATTTGTCCTAAATTATCATGTCTACGGTAACCCGGACATGCTAGGTGGGGCGGAGGAAATACTATCTACATACAAACCTGGGAGAATTATGGCTGTATTCTTTTGCAGATTTTTCAAGATTTTTCTCTATTCATTTAATTTTTCATGCCAAAACATCACATCAGAAACATTTTTCATTTTTATATTATAAAAAAATCAATTTTATATTCAAAACATCACATGAACACCTATTTATTTATATCATATCAAACAACTATTTGAATTCAAAATTTTACTATTAAAAAATCCAAACTCAAAATTCAACACTAGTGCTGATCAGAATGGTGTTTTAGAATATCACTACAACAAATGTACGAGGATCTACCATTATGATAATCCTGAATCCAAAGTTAAAAATATATAAAAGATCCCTAGCTATCATGCCCAGCAAAATTAACAGAAAATCAGCCTGTGGCTATGAGAAATGATGCCAACCATTCTTACCATCGTCCAATCTCTTGTTGGATGTATCATATGGATCTATCCGAATAACTCGTTTTTTCTTCTTCTTCTTCGCCTTCATCACATCAGAATCGTCAGCAGCTAAGCTTCTTTTGCCGTCATCCCTTTTTTTGGAGGCTTTCTTAACATAATCAACAGCATGCTTACTCAGGGTAAGATCTTTTCTCATTACCAAAGAATTTTTCTTCTTCTCAACCTTCTGATAGAACACAAGAGGAAAATGAACTTTATTACCAATTAAAAGACAAACACATATAAAATATATATATATATATACATATGTAATTGATAGAACATTTTTGGAACCTAAAATACCAATTTGTTGGGATTGGAGGTTGGGGAAGGTTTGCCATTGTTGTATCCCTCCCAGTAGCCACCGCGGAAACCCATCCCAGTGACGCCAAGTGGGGATACTGTTAAGACCACCGTTTACTGTTGGATACAACAGGTAAAGCAAGTGAGAAGAAGACGAAGTTGAAGATAGAGAAGGAAGACGGCGGTACGGCGGGGAAGACGACGGCGATGAAGCCCGCCAGAGCGACAGCAGACACTGACGTTAGGGTTGGTTTGTTTTTGTACAATATACTAGTATATATTATTATTTTTTATTTTCTTTTTCGAAATACTTTTTTATAAAAAAATAATATTGAATATTAAAGATTATATTATTGTAATAGTATTTATTTATTATGTAAAATTTTAAAATAAAAATTCGTATTTCAACAATTTTATCCTTTGTATAGCTTAATTGTATTTATTTATTTATAATAAATAATTTTATATTAATATATAATTATTTTTTTTATAAAAATTAAATACTTTTAATATTATAATTTTGACCAAATATTATATAAAAAAAATTTTAATAAGGATTCAAAATCCAGAATCTCTTTAAATTTTTATAGTAAATAAAAAGATAATGAATGGGTTTATGTATAAGATTTTGTACTTATTTTAGTATTATAATTTTATAGATATTTATATTATAACAAATAGTTATTTTAATTTAAAATTTTATTTTTTAAAATCAAAATTTAAAATCATATCTTGTTAGTAAACACTCATAATATTTTAATAAGATAACTTTCACATTTTTGTTGGATGACAAATAAAGTAATAATTATATGTAAAACTTTAATTAATTAGAACTTATACTTCAAATAATTGTTCATAAAAGCCTCTTAAAGATCCTATATTTTTTTTTTTAGTAATCTTTAAATATTAATTATTATATAAAACGTAGTAGAAATAAAAAAAAAAAATGACAAAAATAATATTTTACAATACTATTATAATAATGATATTTGTAAAAAAATATAATACAAATATACAAATATTTTTAATGTTAATTACAACAAGTAAATAAAAACTTTAAGCCAAAAAGAGAAAGTACTATTTTTTTCACATAAAATATTGCATACGCATCTTAATCTCATTTTAAATTTTTTAATTTAATTTTTTTAAATTTTAATTAAACTAATTAATTATTTTAATCTTAATTTATAATAACAATATAAATTGTTTACTTTTACTAATATATTCTTAATTATTTATAAATTATTTTTATCCTAAATTCTCGTGTCTACGATAATCAAGACATTCTGTGGGAGGGAAAGAGTAATGAAAAAAGAAAAGAGTTCCAAAAAAAACAAAACAAAATGAGAACAAACTGTGGTATGACAACAACAATTGCTAGACGTGACACACCTAAGGATGTATTGATGTCCTGCACTCTTTCTTGAGTTGTGCCTCTCGACATCCACATTCTTTGAGAATGATGTATGTTATAAAAGTCGTAAAAATTACTCCATAAAGAGATGCCTATATTTTGTCAATATCGGGATAATTAATAACATGCTAAGAGTAAGAGGTTTATTAACTATTAGCTCCCGAATTAGAATCTCCGGATGTAGATTTTAGAATCAAACCGGACGACAAGTTTTGTGCTCTTTACTCTGTTTTTATACTTTGACACACATTGTAGTCACAAACCCGTATAATCCGCCAGCCTGTTGTTTCACATTTTCGGCGCGAATGAGTCCCCTGCATCCAACAAAAAACATTTACTTAAATAAAGAGATGCACGTGTTTGTTTGGAGGATTGGATTTTAAATTTACTATTCATCCTATTTTTTCCCCCAAAAAATATCAAATCAAACACCTATTTTTTATTATTTATATTATACTAAAAATCAATTTTACATTCAGAATATCACATCAACACCTATTTATATCACATCATACAACTATTCAAATTTAAAATTTTTACTATTCAAAACCCAACTCAAAATCCAAACCCCTGAACAAACACACCTTTAGATAAAGCCCACCCTGTATGAGGAAATATTATTTGTGAACTAAGTAACTCAAATCAACACAAAGATAGCCGTTTGCATAACAAAATTTCACCTGTAGCTTACTGGACATCTACTTGTGCAAGGTGTTGAAAACCAATATAAGTTCATGTTTTTGTAAAATCAGTGGTAAATTTGATCTAACATCATGGAGTTTGTTCTTGTTGTGATTTCGAATTGAAATCAACACTATTTACTATGTATACTTTTCAATGAAAATATATTATTTTCTCACGTAAAATATCAAATTAAAATACTATTTAAATAAAAATTCAAATCAAACACCCCATTTCAAATCAATTTCAAAAAACAACAAAACAAACTCATGGGTTTCATCAGGAAACTAAAGTCGGGCAAAAGCAGAGAAGCCCAAAGTTTATGGCAATTTCCGCGATAGAGGTAGAGCTTAAATAGGGAATCCATGGCCACAAAAATTACATGAACTGAGCTGCACAAATTTAATAAAACAATATTCGTACCTTCATATATTGTAAGAGCATTTGCCCTGTAAACATAAAAGGGAAGAGTTCATTAATGTATGTTTTTTGAGTCTCAATGAAAATCAAATGATCAATGTATCGAATATGCAAATAGATACCATTTACATATGGAAGTTGCTAATAAAATCAGGTGTCAGCATTCAAAAAGAGACACAAATCTTCATATGATTAATTAAGATTGAAATCTCTGTAAAGCAGATTGCTGACAAACAAACAACGGAATCTAAAAATCTACCTGAGTAAGCAATGTGGATTTTCATCGCCAGCTGCTGGAAACAGAAATATTGAACCAAGGGAAGGAATGCAGAAGAATTGCAAAGGTCATTTTGAAGGCCGTCGAATAAGAGAACTAGATGCTTGTAAAGATGTAATTCTTTTATGAGCAGGTGTCCGCCAGCTATCCCTCCCTAAAAACTCCTCAATTAACCTTAAGGAAACGAAAAGTTCAATGACGAAGGAAAGTAGCATGATATATTGTAGTTATATGCAGAACACAAGGCACCGTTTGTATGTACTTACATGGCACAAATAGCCTTTTGAGAAGCTGCTAATTCACGGTCCGGGAAGCAGTCATCCATGTGAAAACCCAGCCAAACGTACAGATCCAGAACCTAATTCAAAGAAATATGTGTAAAATTACATCCTCAAATGATGTCGGAGAAATTACATATCCATAAATAGTAGCAACACAGATTACTACACTCAGAAAGATATTATCCGGACCTTATGGATTGATTCAAGCTCCTTAAGAGCGTTATGTGATTTTGGAATCTTGAGTGTTCCAGGAGTGAAAATTTCCTTAAGCCGAACAACCTTATTTCTGGCATAACTCATTGCAAACTGCCAGCAAACAAGAGAGAATGTCTCAACTCAAATATACATGCAGACAAACACCTTAAGGTTAGAAGTAGACCAAACCTGGGTCAGCCCCTGCGACGAAATGTCATCATCCATTTCAACAGGACTGCATTCAGAAACACAAGTGAGTAACAGAAAAAATGCAAGTCGTATGAAATAATAAAGAGTAACATTTGGCAACAATAAGAATGTTAAGACAGTGATGCCAAGACAAGGGATGCACGTGATCATATAGTTCTTTTAAAAGGGTAAAACTGATTTCTGATCGGTAAAGGGTGAAGAGTCTTGCCTCATTGCAAAGAGATATTTATCTTGCAAATTGAGAGGTAGCTCATCTACAACTGCTGCGACTTTCTGTTCTCAAACAACTCTGAATTGGTAACTAAAACCACGAACAAAAATGCAAGGAAAGATTGATAATAGAAAGTCTTCAATGGGACCAATGATGTGACATACCAATATTTCCTCACAATCTGAGATGAAAAAGTTTTCTGACAACTTGGCATTCGCAATAAAGTGCTCCTGTACATGAATGTGGCAAAGCAAAGTATATTGAAATTCATTCACTGCTTTTTATTATTAATAATAGTATATAAAAAAAAGAAAAAAAAAAGTTCAGCATCACAGCCATAAATAATAGCTACAAACATCAAAACTAGACAATATATCCACTGCAAAATAAAGTACCTGATCTCTACTGAAAGTGACGCAAATTGAGTACATTTTAGACCACAGCATAAAAAGAGTTACTGTTTTACATTGTTTTTGGTTATAACAACATAAGAAAGACATGTCATACGACACAGAGAGAGAGAGAGAGTACCAGTATTTGGTGAAGGCTATAAGTTGGGTGTAAGCGTGAATACATGAACAAAAGATCGAAGTTAGGAAAAAGTCCAGCTTGCTGCACCACAGAACATGCAATATCATTAATTTTAAGAAAAGACAAATCAAGAATGTAATCAGTCAGCTGAAATTGTTGACTTTTTCTATTACTTGTATGACAGGAGATGGAGAACTTAAAGCTGAGTGAAGTAATGGTAGATCAGCAGCACTTAGACAGGTCACTTCACCCGTGGGAAACTTAGATTTGTACCTGCCAGCTCTTCCTACAAGTAAATTCATAAAAAGATCCATTTGGTACCAAATGCGCTAATCTAAAGAAGTTTCCAATTGATTTCAGAGAGGCAATACATGCCGAAATGAGCAGTGAAAAATAATTATAATATAAGCAAAAAGATACATCTATAACAGCACACATTCACCAAAATCTAAGCTCAATTTCATTAGTCACAGAAATTTAGTTATCCATCTATAGTGACTGGAAAGACACAAGGTACATAAAATATTACTAAGCATCACTATCAAACACCAGAAATTGTAATAAGAAGAGGACGTTAATTTGGAGTTCTACCCAATTGTAACTAATACCAATTTAAATAGTCAAAAGTAAACTATTTGCTTTCTTCACAATCTATCATTCTGGTGAATCAAATATCTATATAAGCACTATATCTTACCAGCAATTTGTTTAATCTCGGAAATATAAAGATCCCTTGTTTCCACTCCATCAAATTTCCTCAATGTCGAAAATATAATTCTAGATATGTTAAGGTTCAGACCCATTCCAATAGCATCACTAGCAACGAGGACATCAAAACCATTGTTTGCATCATTGAACATTGTTGCCTGCAAGCTTGAGGAATTAATCAATTCAGAAATTTCTGCAGCATCAGGTCAAGAGATCAAAATGTTAAAACATATAGAAATAAGAAATCCTTAATATGAGAACTCCCGCAGAAACAATGTCAACTCAGTTAAATTACAAAACATAATCTCTGACTACTTAAATCATGGCATGACATTGAAATAGTAGAAAAAATAACAGAATGTGTAGTGAAGAAGATATAGTGGGGAACTATTTGGTAAAGGACCCTTTCAAGTGCTTCATCCTTCTGGAACAATACACTTTGCTGGTTAGCGTGCTCAGTTTATGTTATGAGATGTATAGAAAAATTTGATTAAATTTTTATTATAGCATTTTCAAGATATCATATATATATATATATATAATTTAATGGTGTGGTGTATTATGAATATTCAAATATGCATGCATACATATTTCTAGATAGGGTGCAGGTACAGAGAGAGTTTGCAATGTTGTATGTTGGAGAATGTTTGTTGAAGTGATAATTGTTCACACGTTAAAAGGAGGCCAGAAAACAGAAAGCTCACAGAATCAACAAGGATCCCAATCCATTTGACTGTTCAGATAAATAAGTTACAGGCCAAAACAAATGAAATCATAACTACCTGTCTGCTTCGAGTCTCCGGAGGTAGTGAGCCATAAATAACAGAGCAAAGATGCTTCCCTCTGCTTTCAATTTCCCTCTGTCAATTAATGGAGATCTTCAATCAGAAAAGGTTATACATAGAACTTAGAATATGTTTACTTTCAATCATTGGATTAAATAATTATGTTCTCAAGCTGACAAAATTAAATTTTAGTATATTTTTGCTAAAATTCAACTATAGCGTCCAATGGGTAAAATAATCTCATCAGATCCTTTTATACGAGTATGGCCTAGAGAAAAAGAGGTCTAGAGTGTAACACAACTTTGGTTTCTTGATGTTGATTGCACAAATAAACATCAAGTATCTTGCTTATACTTGTATGATTACCTACTAATATAATAATGTAATGCAATTAATCAGTTTTTCACTAGGTCACAAATGCTGGCCACAATGGAATCAATAATTTGAGTTGTTTTTTAAGTCACAAGTAACTCAGACGCTAAGAGATTAAGAGACAAATTAATTTCACAACATAACTAAATTTGCCGTATACTATTTTCCTGCAGAATTTATTTTATTTAGAAATGCTAAAGCATCATCAAGATAAGTTAGATGATACAGAAATTTATCAAAAGCACTTCCTAACCTTTATCGTGTATATCCCCTTTCGTGAAAATGTGACGATGCAGTCCCCTGTCCGTATGTTGGAAAAGGATCCCAGAGGAACCTTTAATGGAGAAAGAGGAGAAAGCCTCTCATAGGATTGAACCTAAATAAGATGAGGTAGACAATGAGAGAAAATTTTGATCTACACCAAGAGATTATCTGAACTTATTCTCTTTATGTTAAAATTTGAATGCTTGCAGAAGAAAATATGTTGAGAATCTAAAACATTAATACCTTGACATCATCATCAGTAACTTTAAGTATTTCTTGTATTAGAGGGACTACGGCAGCATCCCCACACAAGTGTAGTTCTTCAGCTGCTAACCCTAGTAAAGCCCGTGTAAACGAAAAACCTCGCGTTCTACATCCCAACATCTGTGAATACATGACAGAGAGCACAAAATATATCTATCCCTTATATATAATGTACCATCTGAAAATAAACGAAAGCATATATATATAAATAAATAAAATAAAACTTAAAGCGATCCTGTTTTCTAGATTGTTTTCCTTCGGTAGGGGTCTTTTATTTTTTATTTTTTGGATCGTAAGACTCCAGTATTCTCTACCAAATTGCTATTTTACAGTGTCTAACCATCAGGCCAAAAATAGAAATGAAACATTATAGATATAAATAAAACAAAGCACCTATTGCTTGATATTAACACAGCACAAATTCATTTTCTTAACTTTCATTATTTTGCAACATATAAAACCTCAGGTAAGCACACCTGAATTTCATCAACAACTGCACATTTATACTCAGATGTAACATCTGCCATTTCTACGGTAACTGACTTATGTTTTGCTCCATCAACTTCTTCTCTCTCTTGTCCGGTTATTAAATCACATGGAACTCCAGCCTTATTCATCCGTTGAGCAACTTCCCATGCCAGCAGTCTCAATGGTCCACAGTAGATACCTGTGGCATAATTATTAAATCTACTGTTAAATCAGCAACATTGGATGTACCAAAAAGATTAAAGAATTACAGAAGAAACTTGACAAGATTCCAAATACCTGAAGAACAGGATGCCAATCGCTTCAGAGCATGATATGTTTTACCACTATTTGTTGGACCAACATGCAATATTACTTTCCTTTTTCGCCTCCGTGCAATAGGATACCATGTATGTGGGTGCCTGATATGAAGAAAAAACACTAGTAACAAAAAAAGGTTGAAATGCATTATAGCACTACGAATTCATGTAAACACTTTCTCTTACTTGAGGTCTGTAAAATCAAATTTTTTGGTATGAATGGAACTACCGATCATCCTTATGCACTGAAAAACACTGTGTGAAGTTCCAAACATTGACTTTGAGGTTGAGTGACAGAAATCTGCATTGCCTGACCAGCAAAGTAGGAGATGGGATATAAATCAAATACAGGAAAATCAAGACCATAATAAAATCACAGTTATCAGGCACAAAATGCTTCTATTTATTACAAATTAGTATAATCAATACACTTGCTGAGATTTGCACTCGCACGTACGAGTTAGAAAATACTACATGAGAAAACCACCTCAGTTACAGAAGACAGTGCTTCAATGTGCAAGCATACACTTCCATGTTATGAGAAACAGATAGTAAGATATACTCCTGTACTCACTCCAATAAACGTGGCACTGTTAATCTTAACAAAAATAACAATATTCAATCCCAGTAGGTGACCCTCATCAATTGTGACCCTGCAGTTTCTTTTCAGTGTAATGATTTAAGAAGCTTATAGTGCTACACTTGTAAAGGGCTCTGAATTGGGCAAGATCTCAGAAGCAGGTGATTAAGCAAGAAAGAAATATAGTATTACAGTAAAAATGCAAGATTTATTAGTTAGATTGCATTAGCCTTCTCCATATGGATTTGCTCTCCCAATAAGGATTAGGCTGTAATGTAGCACAGGCCCATTAGTAATGATATTCAAATGCTCATACCATAATAGATTAGGTTTTACAGTAGTTAAATATACTTATCATTTATTTCAGAATCTATAATGTTTTGATTGTTAAGTTTTGTAGTACAGTCTGTTGACATCCTTCATAGGATCATTATGCCCATATGATTTCTCAGACTGAAAATCAATGAGTTGAAAATCATGTAGGCAGCACTTTACTACGTCGAAATTCTGATCAAATAACATTGGGTAATGACAACAGAATTCTAATTCCTAACTATGTATAAGCATTATTGGCATCATTTGTGACTTGATAATACAAAATGAATATAAGGCAACAGAAATGAGAATCATAAAAATCTGCAGGTCAGGTAGGAGTGAATAAGCAGGTTTGAATATAAGAATCCAGTATGCATTCCAACAATGTCAATAACTTAATCTCACCAATAAAGAAACTGCAGTCACCAAAACTATTTCACAATATAAAGAGCAAACAGCCACTCGCTCAAAGGCACTCAAATTGTATATACAATTTCCAACTCCATATTCTGACGAACAAAATCAAGAAATGCTATCTATAATTCATCCTTTCCACTAGCATAATTCAACAGAGATGCAAAATGCCCCTTCAATTATCACCAAAATAGCAACAATAAATTTAGTCCAAAACTACAAACTCGATACTTCCATTGAAATGCAAATTTCCGCACGAATTAACAAAAAGGCAAGTAAATACTAAACCACAAAATTTCAATACATATATATATATATATACATAAAGCATAAAAAATATTCATAAGATCATTACCAAATGGCAGAGTACGTGAAAGCGTGCGACGGAAAAGCAGATAGCCCATTCTATTGTTCAAAGCGAAATCAACTGGAGATTGACATGGAGATTTCCAAGGAGCATAATAATAGAGTCGAGTAATATCTAAATATAGAGAAATCCGAATGAGTGGTTTCCGCGGAGCTTAACATTCTCGGCGTCAATGGCGGAGCTCTCCACCGCCGACACCGAACGATATTCCGTATGTGTGTATCTATATTTCGAGGTTTTCATTCCAGCACGAAGATTATAAGTAATATCATCTTAGCCCAAAAGGGATTATAATATCACTATAGTCCTCGGAAACAGTAAAAATGCCTATTTGGCCCAAGACAGTCTTGGGTGCAAGAATAATAGTAGTTCATAGAAATTTGGGAACTTTTATCTTTTAATTTTGGTAATAATAAAAATTTTAATATTTTATGGAGTATAATATTTTATGTGAATAAAAAAATATTTATATGATTGTTGTTTTAAAAAAAAATTACTTTTGATAAATAACACTTCTTTTATCAGCTAAAAATAGTCTCCTTAATATGCTTTTGACTCATATATTAATATTAATACAGTATACTACTTTCAGTTCTAAATGTCTCATTTATTTTTTGTTTTCTGATTTTTAAATATTAACTATTATATTAAAATATAGCACAAATTAAGAAAAAATTGCAAAAATATTTTCACTAGTGTCTTATAATACTAATTAAATGACATTTATATAAAAAATTATACAAATATAAAGATATTTTTAATGTTAAATACAATTACCCAAAAGGTAAATGTAATCCTTAGAGACGGACAAAATGAAGTATATTTTTTTATCGTTTTTACAAAAATAGAGGCATGCTTATTTTTTTATATAACAAACAAAAAAGAGCAAAAATTAATATTAGTTGGAATCAATTTTATATTTTTTTATTTTTAATCTCATTCAAAGATAATTATCAAAATTAGTTACACACGTAATATAAATCATCATTTTCTTTCCACCGTTTCAAGGGAATGTATTTATATATCTATATCAAGGATCGAACACATTTTATTATATAGAACACGATTGTATCCAAATAGTTAGATATACCTCGTTACATTTGTTTGAAAATTTTGATTTTGGTCTAACTTACCGATCCTTCGATTAATATAATGAGTTGCACACATTTGTTCCCTGTTTTGAATTAATTTTTAGAGTTTCTTATTTCTTAAATTATTTTTTTGGAAAATACTTTAGGGTGTGTTTGTTTGGGGTTTGGATTTTAAATTGAGATTTGAATAGTAAAAATTTTGAATTTGAATAGTTGTATGATGTGATATAAATAGATGTTGATATGATGTTTTGAATATAAAATTGATTTTTAGTACTCCCTCCTTCCCAGATATCATGTCCACGTTGCCGTTTATGTCCGTCCCACATACCATGTCACTTTCCTTTTTTTGGAAATGATTACACACTTTAATCTCATTTTAAATTTTTAAATTTTATTTTTTTAATTTTAATTAAACTAATTAGTTATCTTAATCTTAATTTATAATTATTTATATTATAGGATAATTATTTTCACTAATACATTCTTAATTATCTACTAATCACATCCCTCCTAAAATACAATGTCTACAGTGCAGCGGACACGATATCTGGGACGGAGGGAGTATAATATAAAAAAAAAAATAGGTGTTTAATTTTATATTTTTGGAAAAAAAAAAATTGGATGAACAGCGTAAATCCAATCCAATCTAATCCCCCAAACAAACAGACCTCCTTATTGGAAGATTCAAACCACTTGAAGTGCATGTTTGATGTTGATTTCCATGACAAGATATTACCCCAATTAAAACAATAGTGTTCATGTTATTCAATCCAAACATCATCATTAGTTTTTCGACTTACAATAATAAGAATAATTAGAGCTGACAAAAACTGATCCGACATAATAATTGGATACGAAATAATTGGGTTTGGGTCAAAAATTTTAACCCGATTATGTATACGGGTTGACACGAATCCGACACGATAATAAACAGGTCGGATTAGGGTTGTGGCTCTCAATTCGAACTCGACACGACAACTAGATTATAATATATTAATATTGATTAATATATTTATTATATATGTAAAATAATTATAATTTAATAATTTTCTCATAAATAATTATAATTTAATAATTTTCTCATAAATTAATTTAAACTAAGTTCAATTTTAAATAATTCAAGCTCAAACCAATAAAAACTAGCATAACACGACAACATAACAAAAAATTATTTAATTTGAATTAAGAAATTCTACTTAATTATGTATACGGGTCAACACGAGTCAATCGGAACCCGACACGATAATAAACGGGTCAACACGAACTCGATACGATTATAAACAGATCGGATTAAAATTGAGTATTTTAACCCGTTTTAAGTATTCAACCCGACACGAACCGACACATTGTCGGTTCTTATGATAATAATTTTAAAACTAATAATAATGGACCGTCGAATTTAATGTAACACGACATATTTGCTCTATTTGTTCTTGGATTTCTAATATGAATTTATTATACCTTTCATCCCATTTGAAAAGAGATCTTTGAGATTTTATATTACGATTATAATATAATAATAATTTATTGGCTAGTGAGATTGTATAAGAGGTTTTGATAATTTTATTTTTTTATTTTATAAAAAAATAATTATATATGTAATAATATATTCATAATTTTTTTTAAAAATTGAGTAAAACAAATAAAAAAAAATAAAAAAAATACTTTGTATTGAAACAAAAAAAAAAAAATTTATTACTCCCTCTGTCCCACATAATTTGTTCATATTTTTTATTTTCGTCTATCCCATGTAACTTATCATTTCTATTTTTAGAAATATAATTATGTACTTTAATCGCATTTTAAATTTTAAATTTTATAATTTTTTAAATTTTAATTAAACTATTTACTTATCTTAATTTTAATCTATAATTATTTTTACTAAATAATAATTATTTTTCCTAATACACTTCTTAATTACTTACTAATTATACTTTACCTAAATTCTCATATCTATAGTAATACACCCATATTATATGGGACGAAGAGAGTACTTTTTAAATATATATCAAAATATTTTTTTCTTTTATTATAATATATAAAAAAACTAAATTTTTATTTAAAATATTATATTAATAGACAATTATTCTAATTTCAAAATTTTACTATTTAAACGTTGAAACCAACTACAAAACTACCCAACAAACACACTTAAGTTTGTTGGATAATGTTTTTTTTTTACTATTTTTTTTTTATTATAATAAAAGTAATTAAATTTACATATTAATATATTTTTAAATTTTATAAAAATATTAATTTCTTTTGTACTTTCAAGAATAAAAATGTTAAAAATTATTTTACATTTTCACTAATTAATAAATTATATTATATTTTAAAATAGTACAAAAGCCAATATAACCAAAATTCATCAATTTTGGTCCCAATATAAAAATTTTATTAATTTTGGTCTCAATATAATCAAAACTTATTATATTTGGTCTTAATATAACTAAAATTCATCATTTTTTGTCCAAATATAAATTTTTTATCAATTTTAGTTTCAATATAACCAAAACTCATCATATTTGGTCCAAATATAAACAAACATTATTTTTTTGTCCCACCATCAACAAATCGACGAAAAATGCTGCGTGGACTTGCAAAATTGTGCAATTTTTTCATAAAGTTTGCGGCAGACAATAGTTCAATCTGTTGCAAGTCTTCTTGCATATTCGTATCCAGTTTGTTGACGGTGGGACCAGAAAATATAATGTTTGATTATATTGTGACAAAAAAATGATGAGTTTTAATTATATTTGGAGTAAAATTGATAAAAAAATTTATATTGAGACAAAAAATAATGAGTTTTGATTATATTGGAATCAAAATTAATAAAATTGTATATTGAGATCAAAATTGATGAATTGATCAAAAATAAAGTTTTTTCTTATAAAAATAATAATATCTGAATAATATATTATAAATTAAAAAATAAATAAATTATTAAGTTAAAAGAGAATAAGATACAGACTATAAAAATATGATTTTATTTATTTTTTTAAATAGCAAGAGAGAATCACTAACATCACATCTAATCTAACATTCATTCATTCCTAAATTCTTGCAGACAACAAACGCCACAATCAATAAAGCAAGAAAAAGAAACAATGTAAGAAGAAGAAAGCAACAACACACAAATATATATATATTTATATATATATATAATACTAGCTCCGTCCTAAATTAATTTGGACGTGTTAATGTAGATACGAAAATTTAGATAAAGTATGCTTAGTAACTAATTAAGAAGTATATTAGTAAAAATAATTATGATATAGTCAAAATAATTATAGATTAAGATTAAGATAACTAAATAATTTAATTAAAATTAAAAAAATTATAAAATATAAAATATAAAATATAATTAAAGTGTATAATTATATTTCTAAAAAAAAAGGAAAAGACAAGTTACGTGAGATAAACAAAAATAGAAAATAAGAACAAATTAGATAAGACGAAGAAAGTATTAAAATAAGCAATCCCATATAAGATTTAAAAAATAAATAAATAAATAAAATATTGATATATATATATATAGCCAAGCTTTCTTTCCCTTTATACATACGCATCTTTAACTGCTTTCAGCTTTGTCTCTCTGTAACACCAAATGCCAAACAATAAACACTATACATACGTACATATACATATGTATCTATATATATATATTTAATTTAATTTAATCACCATCTCAAAATAATAATCTCATTTTTATTTTTAATAATTTGCTCTTCATTTTTTTTACAAAACTATCTATATTTTTTCCCAATAAATATATAAAATAGTACTCTCTCTTTTCGTCTCAAATACCCTGTAATTATTTGTCTCAAACTCACTGCAATATTTTTAAATTTAGAAATAATTAATAATATATATACTTTCTCCGTCTAAGAACTATAATCTTAATTGGGTTGGATACGAGATTTAAGGAATATTGATAATATATTGATAGTAGTTGGTAAAAAAAATATTTTTTTGCCCTTGTGAGTGTATTAGTGTAAAAAGGAGTGACAATTATGTAATAAAAATAAAAAAATAGGTGTAGTTTTATGGTGATATGATTATTTATGAAAATAAGACTATTGTTCAGAGACGGACAACAATGATAAACAAGACTACTGTATTGGACGAAGAGAGTATACATTAATATACACTTCACTTTATATCATAACATCACTCAAATAAAAAACAAATAATCATTTCTCTCTGATCACATCACTTAAATTTTCGTGTCAAATATAAATATTGCATAATATTTAAGACGAAAAAGTAACATCTTAATCTTTTAAAAATATTTTTATATTCATTGTTGAAATATATTTCTAATACTCATTATTAATATAATATAATAATATTATTATTTTTTAATTCTCATTTTCTATACTTAGGATATTTTTACTCTCTCTACCCAAATATGCTTCTGCACTACCCTTTGCTGACCGGGTCAGCTGACCGTGGGTCAAAAAACGACGTCGTACGTCTGCTGTTTAATGGAGAAGATGGATCTGCACCGTCCATTGGTGTGGGCCCCATAAAATGAAGGGTCAGGATTGCTCGCAAGAATCACTCTTCTGGGCTGTCTGCTTCTTTATTCTGCCTGTGTTCATCAAATTCGATACTTTACTGTTTGCTGCTTAGAACGAAGCAGTGGTTCAACAAAAAGAAAAAAACAATCCCTCTCTCTCTCTCTCTACTATTTCTCTCTCTTTCTCACTCATAATTGGATTGGATTGGATTGTCTAGCTCTTACTACACTTCCCTAACAGTCTTGTCCATTTTAAGGATCTTTTGCATTTTGGGGCTTCTAAAATTGGGCAAAGTCTCTTTCTCTCTTTTTCTCCCATTGCCTACATTTCGATCATCAATTTTTTTTTTTTTAAAAAAAAAAATCCCATCTTGGATCGATAGTTTGATCTTTAAGGAAGTTATAGAAATGGCCATTTTAGAGGTTCTTGTTTGTGCATTAAGGAGTTGTACCTTGTACGTGTAGAAGCCATTACAGCTCAGACAATAAAATGAGAGATGAACAATCCAAGAAGGGCAAGGTTTGATATTATTTATTTTATTATTAGTATTTTTTTCATTTTTTTTTTTTTTTTTGGGCTAAAATACATTTTTCATTTACAATAATTAGCTTTCATGGTCAAAGAAACTGGTGAGAAAATGGTTCAATAGCAAGTGCAAAAATGAAGAGTTTCATGATGTTGTCAATGGAGGTGAGTGTAAGATTTCGACCAATATTTGGTAAGAAAATATTTGGCTGTTTTCTTTTTTAAATCAAATTTAATTTTCATTGTAAGAAAAGAAACCATTGTACACTGTACTATTATTCTTCTTCTTCTTCTTCTTCTTTATTTGTTTATTATTTTATTTTATTTTTGAGCTACGAAGCAGATAATGAAAGGGAATGGCGAAGTAGCTTCAGTGAAAGGGAGCCTTGGACGATCAAGAAAAGCAGAACAGGTTAGAGCATTGTAATGTTCTTACACTTCTGTTTTTATATATGAAGATTCGACTTTGTTCTTAAATGTAATCTTTTATTTGTAAATTTAAAACTTGTTTCTTCTTAAACAATCTCGGGGAAAAAAAAAAATGTAATTCATTAATAATATTTTTGCGTCCTACGTGCATATTTATATTTTCGTCCTTCCTATTTATTTTGCGATTTTTCTTTTATTTTTAAAAAAATAATTATATCTCTTTTAAATTTTTGTATCTACGATAAAGGAGCATGATATCCTGAGAGAGTAATACTACTATATTGATGAATGAATTTGTGTAAAATAGAAAATCAATAATACCCTTGATTTATACTCCCTCAGTCTCACGTAATATAAGCGCATTACTATAAACACGAGAATTTAAGTAAAATATAATTGGTAAATAATTAAGAAGTATGTTAGTATAAATAATTATTGTATTGTAAAAATAATTATAGATTTAGATTAAGATGAAAATACCTAACTAGTTTAATTGACATTAAAAAAATTTAAAATTTAAAATGTGATTAAAGTGTATAATTATATTTCTAAAAAAAGAAATGACAAATTATGTGGGACGGACGAAAATAGAAAATAGGGACAAATTATGTGAGACGAACGAAATAAAAAATATGAACAAATCATGTGGAACGGAGAAAGTACATAAGTGTAATTTTATTTTTGTAAAAAGGGGTAAAAGTGTAGTAGACTATATGAACTACAAATGAAAATGAGTTCTTTATCTGTTAGCTTATTTATTTGTCTAGTGTAACTTGTTTTATCGAATTTGGATTGCAAATTATTAGGTTTGATCAGAAATAATGACTGCAAATTCCCACGTTATTATAAAAAAATAAAAAATAAAATCAAGTTATTTAAAAAAAACTTTAAATGAAAAGTTTGACTATTAAAATTGAACGGAAATAATATAAAAATAGATAAGAAAAAAGTAGGTTGAAGGTATAATAAAAAATTTATTAAGAAAGTATGTGATTTAATTGTAGCGGCAAAATAGTTATTACATGAGCACGAATAATAAAATTATAGATGGATAAATTTTTTTACTTACATAAATTCGAAGAGTATAAATTAGCATAGTACAAAGAATTTGTAAGAGAATATAGCCGTTAATTTTGTTGTTTCTGCAGAAGAAAAGCCAGCAAGGAGCGTCGATCGATCGTTTTCCCGACTGCATTCGTTGTCGAGGCAGAGTCGAGGCTCTCTCGATCACCCTCAGATATTGAACATCCAAAATTACAGGTTTGTCCGATGGTAGACATCATTAATTTGCAACCTTTAACGTTGTTGATCGAAGTTCTTACAACGCTATACGCCTTTTTTTTTTTTTCGAGCATAGTGTCTTTGTGTCGACATGGAACCTCGGAGGCAGGTCGCCGCACAGCAATATGAACTTAGACGACTGGCTGCATTTGTCGCCTCCTTCAGACATTTACGTGCTCGGGTATGTATATTCATTACAATTTTTTCTTTCACATTTAGACATTACAATGGACTTCGATGGTGTTTCGATTATGCTAAATTACCAAATTTTAAAATTTTAAATTTTTAGGTGAATTGGTCATATTTAATAGGCTAAATTGCACAAAATTTACGAGGGGGCGAAATCTCTGTACTTTCAAAATTGCGTCAAACTCCCTCGTAGTTTCATAAACTCTGCATCAAATCCCCTCGTTCGTTATTATTTAACGGTGTCTAATCTACACGTGCCTCATAAAACATTAAAAAATTTTAACTTCAGAAAAAAAAAAAACAACTATTTTTTAGTATATTTACTTTATTGAAATTAAATAATAAGAATAACGAGTATATTTGTAATTTTAAGGGTTTAGAAATGAATATTCTAAAAATTATTCGCAATTTGGGCTCGTACTCGTCAAACATCGTTAAATAAGAACGACTGAAGGGGTTAGACGCAAAGTTTATGAAATCACAAGGAAGTTGGTCGCAGTTTTGAAAATATAGGGATTTTTGCGCTAAAATCACGAGTGAATTTTATGCAATTTAGCCTATTTAATATGATATCAGAGTAAGAACGTCTCATGTTTGAGCATAGCCAAAATTAAACCTTTAGTTGAGATTTCCGCTCAACGGATTTCTTACAACCACGTAGGTTCCAAGAAATTGTTCCTTTAAACGCCGGTAATATTCTCGGCGCCGAGGATAACGGCCCGGCGAAAAAGTGGCTCGCACTTATCAAAAGGACGCTACACGATGCTCCGGGAGATCGCAATCCCGTCGGGTGCTACATCCCGTCGCCTGTCATTAATCCCGTCGTCGAATGGAACGACGATTTCGAGGGATCGACGAGGCACAAAGCCTCGAATTTCTTTCACCGTCGATCCTTCCAAACGCCCGAATGCTGGAATACCGCGTCAATCCCACAACCGTGTCTCGATAGGCGATTCAGCGTTTGTGACCGCGCAATTTTCGGCGGTAGACGACAAAGCGACTTCGACCCGAACACGAGATCGTATAGGCCAAGTGATTGTTCTTCTAGTCATCGGCCGAGCGACTATTCGTCGAGCCGGCGACCGAGCGATTTTTCAAAATGGGGCTCGGACGAGGATTTTCTTACCGACGATGCAATGTCGCACTCGCCGACGTCGTATGCGACGTATGTCCAAATCGATGATGCAAATGCCGCACTCCCGGAAGGTTCTAGATACTCGTTGGTCGTGAGCAAGCAAATGGTCGGGATTTTTTTAACGGTTTGGGTTCGGAGCGAGCTGAGGGAACACATTCAGAACGTAAAAGTCTCTTGTGTCGGTCGAGGCCTCATGGGCTATCTCGGGAACAAGGTACGTTTGATTTATCCCGGTTCGATCCTTAGGATAAGTTTTTCGCCATTACATTACGATGTCTCAATATCGTTTTGCTGCAGGGATCGATAGCGATCAGCATGTTGGTTCATCGAACGAGCCTTTGCGTCGTTTGCAGTCACTTAACGTCGGGTCAAAAGGACGGCGACGAACTCCGGAGAAACGCCGACGTTACGGAGATTTTAAGAAAAACAAGATTTCCGAAAATTGATGGTTCGAATGTCGACGAAAAGTCCCCCGAGACGGTCGTCGAGCACGAGTAAGAACAATTCGTTTGCTTCGAAATAACGATGAACGTATCGATCGAAAGTATTGATTTTTTTTGCTCGTGAATGCAGTCGAATCATTTGGCTCGGCGACCTGAACTATCGAATCGATTTGCCGTACCGGACGGTGAAAGCGCTAATCGAAATGCAGAACTGGAGAGCCTTGTTGGAGAAGGATCAAGTAACTTTAACTTCTTACATATCCTGTCGAGAATTACTAGATTTGCGATGTAAGAATGACCCTTTCGATGTTTTTTCGACAGCTTCTTACCGAGCAGAGACGAGGCCGAGTTTTCGACGGGTGGGAAGAAGGGAAGATCTATTTCCCGCCTACGTACAAATACTTGCATAATTCAGACAAGTACGCCGGCGACAACATTCATCTCAAGGAGAAGCGAAGGACACCGGCGTGGTAAGAACGACTCATTCCTTGTTTATTACATTTTCCGCACGAAATTTTCGCCTGACTGTTTTTTTTGCATGTGAAGGTGCGATCGGATTCTTTGGTTTGGGCGGGGCCTCCGACAATTATCGTACACTCGAGGAGAATCCCGGTTTTCGGACCATAGACCGGTTTCGAGCGAGTTCTCGGTCGAGATCGAGGTTGTAAGGAAAAACACGAATAGTTTGGAATCGAAAGTCGAGGTCGAAGAGCTATTGCCAAATTCGCACTCGAATGGCTACACCGAACTTTGCTTCTTCTAAACGATCGGTCGAGACGGTATCTCGCGTCGTAATCTCGATCGTAATCTTTTCAAGTTCGACATTCCAAATGCCGTGTCGAATTTTTTGCGAAGGAGTCAAAGAAGAACGTGTTCAGTTACCCTACCCCAATGAATTATACCCCTATGTACCGACCATTTACCATCTGCCATGTGTATTCAATTATCCTACCCCAATGAATTGTGCCCCTATGTACCGACCAATCACCATCTGCCATGTGTAATCGGTACATAGGGGCACAATTCATTGAGGTAGGGTAACTGAACTCGTCCGGGGAATTACAACCTCAAGAATTGCTAGAGATTACTATGTGGTCCGAATACACCCACTCGATCGGTACACACTTTCGCTTTCTTGGGTTGGGTCGGATTCGAACGGTCCCATTCGTAGAGTTCGATGATCTCGGCGATCGAGTAAGGGCGATGGATTTCTCGGACTCGACATTTTTGGGTATCGATAATTTTTAACTATGTTGTATCTTTATGGTGTACTCAGCTTGATGAAATTCTTACATGGTAAAAATGTTTCGATTTTATTGCAGGATGTAATAAGGTGAAGATGATGCCAAAGCAGTAGGAATAGAGAAGAAGAAGAAGACTATTATGGAGCGGATATGTCAAAGTTATCTGTTGTGAAATTTGATTTATTACCTCAGTCATTCAATTTTTTTATGTTTTTTTTTTTTTTTGTCATTTAAATTTTAAAAGTAATTTTTTAATAAAAATATATATCAGTTTTTCAATTTTTTTTTTTTTTAATTTTAAAAAAGTTTATATTTTTATCTAATTTTCTTAACAGCCACTTGTCAAATAAGTATGTTTTGTTATGACTTAGGGAGTGTTCTATTTCAACATATGACATAATCCTATAGTATATAACCAGATGTGCATATTTTGACTGCAATGATTTTCCAAATAAGCACATTAAACCTTACGATTATATATATATATATATATATATTTACTTTTTTATTATTTAATTCTCTTATAAAAATATTTTATTCAATTCATATACTCCTTCCGCCTATTTTTAAAATATACTCTTTTCGTTCAGCTAGAAAGTATAGATATTTTTATTTTGGGATGTCCAATTACAAAGTAACCATTTCATTAAATACCCTATTTTTTTCACAAATACCCCTACTTTACATCGCATCATTATTTTTATATAAAAAGTAAGGGCAAAAATGCCATTTCACTCCGGCGGAGGGAGTATTTGTTTTAATGGAGAAGTTTAAATAGAGGAAAAGAGTAATATTTTTAAAATAAATAAGTAAGAAAAATATAATAATTTATGTTAATTAAAATTAATGTATAAAAGTCTGCATTTTGCCAATGATTCTTACTGCAAAAAGTCATTCTCAGTCTATTATTATTAAAACAGGGCAAAAGAAAAGAATGTGGAATGAACACGATCGAGTGATTCTTAGAAAGTCCCAGGACCCCAGCACCAAACAAAGATTGCATGACGTACTATAAACTCAACTGGCGCAGCGGTACAGGGAGTTCCCATGGATCTACAGTTGTAAAAAGAGTAAAGACAAGACCTGACTGCCCTGCAGGTGAATTTGTGGGAATGCCTCGCTTTGTTTGTTTTGTATTTTCGTCTTTAAAAATATTGATATTATATTGATAGTGAGTAAAAAATATGGATAAAGAATATTTTTATCTTTGTAAGTGTATTAATGTAAAAAACAGCGATAATTGTGTAATAATAATGAAAAAGTAAGAGTAGTTTTATAATGATATGATTATTTATAGAAATGATACTATTATTTTGGAACGGACAAAAATGGTAAACAAGACTATTGTATTGGGACGAAGGGAGTATGAAATAATGAATGGTATAATACTCCATCCGTCCCAATAAAATAGTCTTGTTTACTATTTTTATCCGTTTCAAAATAATAGTCTCATTTTCATAAATAATTATATCACTATAAAACTACATTTACTTTTTCATTATTATTATACAATTGTCACTATTTTTTTATACTAACACTCACAAGAACAAAAAAAATTTTTATCCCTATTTTTCCACCAAGTATTAATATAATATCAATATTTTTTAAATCATGTAGCAAACACAACCTAAACTATAGTTTTAGGACGAAGGAAGTATAATTTCTTCTTTTAAAAAATATATATTCTATATTTTCAACAAAAGAACACAATTTTCCTAATTTTCATTTTTCTAACGTTAACTTCAAAATAAAAGAAAAATCTATTACTATTATTTACTAAAAAATTATACTCTTTTCGTCATAAAAAAAAAAATATATATATATATATCCAATCAACGGACTATAGGTTTTTGAAAAAATAGAAATAAAAACTCTTTCTTATTATTATGGTAAAAAAAATGAAAAAAAATAGAATATTTTTAGTAAAAAAATGAAATTGAAATAAATTTAGATAATCACAAAAAAAAAAAAAAATTGTAAATAAATTTAAAAAACAAAGGAAGTACAATATATATCCGCTATGCTCTGTCCCACTCTAATGTACTACCTTTTTTTAAGTTTTCTAGTAAATTAGAAAAAATAATAAATAATACTGCAGTACTATTTTATTAGTGAGTAAAAGTATATAAAAGATTTTTATATTTTTGTTATTTTATTTTATTATAAAATAATTGTATGTGTAATAATATATTTATAATTTAAATAAAATTAAAGGTATTTAATATTAATTTATAATTACATTTACTAAAATTATGAAAATAATTTTGAATGAGAGAGAAAAAAAACGGTAGAAGTGATATTATGTGTTGAGACGAAAAAAAAAAAAAATTACTTTCAAACAATTTATTTTTTTAATTAAAGATATAAAATAACAAAAAGTGCATAATATATTAAAATTTATAATATAAATGAATAAATTTATTTCTTTTGATAACATGCAAAGTATGATACTCCCTCCCATGCTGCTAGGATGACCTATTTTGAATGAATTTTTATGTAATAGAGATTAATAAATTATTAATAATAAATTATGATATTATTTATTATTTTTTATATGATTAGTGTTGTTGATTTTTGAATATATTTAGTATTATATTTCAATAAAATATATATAATAGAAATATTATTTTATATATAATAAAATTTTATAGTACAAATAAATAAAAATATTTATTTATTAAAGAGATAAAAATGAAAGGATTTTGAGTGGATTAAAAATTTAATTTAATTAATTTATATTTGTTAAATGTATTTTAAAAAAATAAATTTATTTTCAAAATAGAAAATTGTGATCTTTTATGAGATGAAAAAAAAAAAAAAAGAATCATTTGGGATGAAATGAGTAGTATTTTGTAAGAAATTATTTATTTTTTAGTGGGAATAATCTGAAATGTAGAGTAAAAAAATACTATTAGTTTGAAATATTAAATAAACAAATCTCTACCTTTTCATTTAATTATTACATAAAAAAAATTAAAACACCTATTTATATTACATTATTAACAAAATAATAATAATAATAATATGTTTATGTACACATTTCTTAAAGTTTTGGATAATAAGCTCTTTTTTTAAAAAAAAAAAAAAAAACCTAATACATACCTATATAGTATATTTTTTCGTAAAATATCATATCAAATATTTAATTTTATATTATTTCTAAAAAATTTTGAAGTTAAAAAAAAAAAGAAAAAAAAAAAAACGGACTTGTCTAAAGGAAATCTTATTGATCCAAACCCCAAATTCCAATGGAAACATGTGTTTGTTTGGGAGATTAAATTGAATTTACACTATTCATCCAATTTTTTTTTTTTTTTTCACAAAAATATCAAATCAAACACCTATTTTTTATTTTTTATATTATACTAAAAATCAATTTTACATTCAAAACATCACATCAACACCTATATATATCACATCATACAACTATTCAAGTTCAAAATTTTTACTATTCAAATTCCAACTCAAAATCCAAACCCCCAAACAAACACATATATTTGAACGAATATTTTGAATTTTGAATTTGAATTTTTGAATGGTATCTGTCCCGATCAGCAAAGGACGCCCAAGTCCTTTCCAATTTTTTGTCTAATTTTTTATTTAGTCATCAAATTTGCTCAATTCCTTTTAATTTAGGATTAATACTCTACATAAATTTCTATATTATTATTATTATTATTATCATTATTATTATTTTAATTTATAATAATATATAATATTTTTATTTATAAATATATTATATAAAAAATAAAATATTTTATCTTAAATATTATTATATTTTGTAATGCAATACAATTTATTTTGTTCCGTTCATTTTTTTTTCTTTTTTACAACAACATTATAGTGTTAATGAAAATTTAAAAAATTAAGAAATGAATCGAGAAAGTTTTTATATTAATTTTTGTATACACACAAACAATCGAATGACTGTTTTAAATAAAAAAGAGTAAAAATCATTTTTTTTTTATCTCATTCAATATCATAATTATCAATTTTGGTCCAATTAAAAAAAATTATCAATTTTGGTTTTACTCAAATGAAAATTTATCAATTTTAGTTCCAAGATGGTTGATTGAGACTGAACACGGCCGTGCTGGCTTGAACATGGCCGTGTTGGATGACTCATAAGGTGACTGGGCGTCCCAGGCAGCCAACACGGCCGTGTTGATTACCCTGCACTTCTGAACACGGCCGTGTTCTGAACACAACCATATTTCTGTCAATGTCCTCAACACAACCATGTTCTAAGCCATCTTCTTTGTTATGTTCTCAACATAGCCATATTCTAGGATATGTTCACGACCATGTTTTCAATATAATCATATTGTAGGTCATATTTATTATTATTTTCACTTTTTGGTTAAAATTATTTGATATAAATATATACACTCCTTCCGTCTCATAATAAAGTATCCATTTTTCTATTTTAGTCCGTCCCATAACAAAGTATCAATTTCTTTTTTTAGTAATTGTACTATCTACCTAACATTATAAATACCCTTACAACTTACAATATATTACACAAATGCCATTACTTTTATATCACACATACTAATAAGGTTATTTTAGTCATTTCTACTTTATTACTATATCCCAATATAATACTAATATTTCTAAAATTACGTGCAAAAAACGAATGAATATTTACTTCTAGGATGAAGGGAGTATTTATAATGCAACAAAAATATTTTTACAATTATTTCATAATATAAAAAATAATAAATTTTTAATATTTTAAAAATATATAAAAATAATAATATATTAATATATATTTTTAATAATAATCCCTCCGTCTCACTTACCATGTCCATATTGCCGTTTTTATCCGTCCCACATCACATGTCACTTTCCTTTTTTGAAAAATAATTATACACTATTTTTTAATTTAATTTTTTTTAAAAATTTTAATTAGTTATCTTAATTTTAATTTATAATTATTTATATTATATGATAATTATTTTCGCTAATATATTTTTAATTATCTACTAATTATACTTATTTTTAATTATCGTATCTACAGTGACCCAGACATCTAACGTGGGACGGAGAGAGTATTATTTTAAAATATTAGTTTGAATAATAAATTTAATTTATAATTTATAGAAATAATTAATTAAAAATAATATTTTAAAATTTTTACTATAAATTTTTAAAAATATATATAATGATTATTAAATATATATATTAATATATTATTAATTTTATGTATTTTTAAAATATTAAAAATTGATTATTTTTTATATTATGAAATAATTGTAAAAAAATATTTTTGTTGAATTATAAATATATATATATATTTATATCAAATAATTTTAACGAAAAAGTAAAAATAATAATAAATATGACCTACAGTGATTATATTGAAAACATGGTCGTCAACATAGCTTAGAACATGGTTGTATTGAGAACATGGACAAAAGCATGACCTAGAACATGGTTGTGTTGTTGAGAAAATGAGCAGGAATATGGTTGTGTTCAGAACACGGGCAGGAACACAGCCGTGTTCAGAAGTGCAGAGTAATTTCAACACGGCCGTGTTGGCTTCCTGGGACGCCCAATCACCTTCTGAGTCATCCAACACGGCCGTGTTCAAGCCAACACGGTCGTGTTCAGTCCCAGTCAACCATCTTGGGACTAAAATTGATAAATTTTCATTTGAGTGGGACCAAAATTGATAATTTTTTTTGAATGAGATCAAAATTGATAATTATGATATTGAATTAGACCAAAAATAATTTTTGCTCAATAAAAAATATGCTTGAAATAAGTTGAAACTAAAAATAAACAGTAAAAATAAAATAAAATAAAATAAAATTGACAACTTTGTCCCCGGAGCCGCAAAGCTGGTTCCGTCACTGTCCCTGATATAATGCTAAAGTAACCGTAGATACGAGAACTTAGGATGTGTGTGATTAGTAAATAATAAAAAAAAATATTAATAAAAATAATTATTATAATATAATAAAATAACTATAATATTATTATGAAGATA